ACAGCATCTGTTTCAGTCCACAAGATGGACATCTCTCTGGATAAAACAGCAAATGAAGGTGCGTAGAAGGCTAACATTGATCCAGCAAAGCTGTGTCCTATTCATAAGAAGCCACACCCCTTACACCCCTTCGGAAGACAGGAAAGCATTCCTGAAACAGAATGGCATTTGTTTTAAATGCATAGCTTCAATGACACACCTAGCAAGGAGCTGTGGAAGCCTTGTGAAGTGCAATGAGTGTGGTAGTGAATGGCATTACTCGGCCCTACACTCAGGACCTACTCCTGCGTCTGTGAAGGCTCTGACCCCTACTGGAGATCAAGGCGGGGAGAGAAGTGGTTTCTTCTAAAGAAGAAGCATCAACCAACTGCACTGAAGTCTGCGGGGATAATATGAGTGGTAAATCATGTTCAAAGATTTCCCTAGTAAAAATATTCCCAACCGGTCGCCAAGAAGAATCAATCAAAGTGTACGCTGTCATTGATGACCAGAGTAATCATTCTTTGGTAAGATCAGAGTTCTTTGATGTTTTCAAGTTAGACAATCAGAGTTCTCCTTACCTTCTGAAAACTTGCGCGTGTGTAACAGAGACGAGTGGGAGACGTGCTTATGGCTTTCAAGTGAGTTCCATAGACGGTAATGTCACTCTCTCACTTCCAACTTTGATAGAGTGTAACGACATCCCTAACAACCGATCGGAGATCCCCACACCACAAACTGCATTACATTATTCACACTTACGGCCTATAGCAAGACAGATCCCAGAGCTTGACCAAGAAGCTCCACACATGATTCTACTCGGCAGGGATATCATCAGAATCCATAAGGTGAGAGAACAGATAAATGGACCACACAATGCACCTTACGCCGAAAGACTTGACCTTGGTTGGGTCCTAGTTGGTGATGTTTGGGCAAGGTCCATAAGCCACTCAGTGTCAATGTCTTCTTTACCACCACCCTTGAGAATGGCAGACAGTCACTCTTTAGGCCTTGTCCTAACACTTGCCCAGTGAAGGAGAGAGTCTGTAAACTGAAGGACTCAGGAGTGTGCACTGCAGTCCCTGCTAAGAACACGTCACAAGTCAGGAGCAGATGTCATATTGGAGATGATGTCTTCAAGAGAACGGAACATGATGAAAAGCCAGCCTTTTCCATTGAAGACCTGACCTTCCTCCATGTCATGAAACAAGGCCTTTAAAATGAGGAGAACAGTTGGGTAGCACCTCTTCCCTTCAAGCCTCAAAGACGGTGTCTACCCTATAACAGAGAACAGGCCTTCAATCGCTTTCGTTTTTTACAGCGGACTTTGTCTAAGAAACCGGAAATGAAGGAACACTTCTTTGGCTTCATGGAGAAGATGCTGGAACAAGGTCATGCTGAAAAGGCTCCCCCACTCCAAAAACAAGAAGAATGCTGGTGTCTACCGCTGTTTGGGGTTTATCACCCAAGAAAGCCAGGCCAGATCAGAGTAGTTTTCGATTCAAGCTGTCAGTACAAAAGTGTATCCCTCAATGATGTACTCCTGACTGGACCCAACCTCAATAATAGCCTTCTTGGAATGCTTATGCGCTTTAGGAAAGAAGCAGTGGCTATTACCACAGACATACAGCAGATTTTCTACTGTTTTGTCGTTAGACCACTAGACAGAAATTCTTTCAGGTTCTTTTGGAATGAGGACAACAATGAAAGCCAGAACGTCATAGAGTTTAGGATGAAAGTTCATGTCTTTGGAAACAGCCCCTCTCCTGCGGTTGCAATTTATGGCCTCAGACAAGCGGCGAGAGAGGGTGAGGCGGAGTTTGGAGCTGATACCCTGGAATTTGTGGAAAGGGACTTCTATGTCAACGATGGTTTAAAATCTCTGCCTACTGATGCAGCTGCCGTCGACCTCCTTAAAAGAACACAAAGGATGCTTGCTCGTTCTAACCTTCTTCTTTTATAAATGCCATGAGACGCTTCATTGCTCTTCACGGTCTGGTGAAGCAGATGCGCTCTGATCGGGGAACCAATTTTATAGGAGCGTGTAGGAAGTTAAACATATCTTCCAACTTAGATGAGAGCAAATTGTCTAAGTTTCTCGCAGAGCAAGGATGCTCTTGGATCTTTAACCCACCCCACGCCTCTTATATGGGGGGTGCATGGGAGCAGATGATTGGCATTACCCGAAAAATTCTGGACTCTATGATACTTCAAATGCAACCTGCGAGGATGACCCACGAAGTTCTGAGTACATTCGTGGCTGAGGTGACTGCCATTGCGAATTCCAGGCCTCTGATACTTATCTCCACGGATCCTGAGGATCCTTTCATTCTAACGCCTGCAACTCTACTCACGCAAAAGACCGGTCCACGTCCAGTTCCCCCAGGTCAGTTTGATGGTACTGACCTCTATAGACAGTGGAAGCAAGTACAAAGTTTGGCAAACACCTTTTGGGACAGATGGCAAAAGCAATACCTGTCTACACTTCAACCAAGAAAGAAGTGGCAGAACTTTAAGAACTTAAGATACCAGGCGGGGAGTGTGCAGTCAGTGTATGTATGGAGTGGATTCTTCAAGAGACTTTTACTTTGACAATGATGTCATCGGCTTTGCATCACAGTTCAGGAAGTATACTAGCAGAAAATGAGGGGAGAGCCTCATGGTGTTCCATGTATCATAATCCTTGTTCGTCTGTTACATTTCGTGCTTTGCGGATGCACTGCTGGTATGTTAGTTTGTCAACATAAACCTTAATTCATATTTTGTTTGTATTAGTAACATTAGATGGTATTTCATGCACTGTTAATGGCATGTTCCAGCTCTTAGTGTATCAGGATGTATGGAGTAATCCATTGTCTCCAGTTAAAATTCATGTTTATTAAAACAACGGAAGGCATAAAATAGCATGGCAGTGAATCAGTATCATTGTGTAGCAATTTGTGTTCTTACGTTAGTACTCATACCCTGGTGATGTATTTTCTTGTAGTTTTACCCTACTTCCAGTCAACCATTAAAAGAGACGAACTGGGCATTCTCTTCAGCATGGTGATTGGGAGAGGAGTTGTCTATCTGCTGACTTATGCAGGGCGTATAAGGGTGGCAGAATAGACACTGTTCTTAATCAGTAACTAAGAGATTTTGAAGAGCCACTCAGTATTATTCAGCAAAAGAATGCATAGCATTGACATTTCCAACTTATGCAGACAATTAACATAATGATAACAACATGGCAATGGTTCCACAGCCACATGCTTGCACTGATACCACTATGGGAACAAAGTTTTTCCTCAAGGTCAACAGGTAATGGCAGCATAAGCCTGGGACAATAAAAGATTATATAAACTTTATTCACTCGGATATGAATTTACAAAGACAGTAAGAGGAAAGAGGGCCACTTTTGGCCAGCTAATGACAGAGGTGGTATATATATATATATATATATATAATATATATATATATATATATATATATATATATATAAGAAAAAAATCATTTTGTGTTCTGCTAAAATATCCAGGTACATAGAGTGAAAGCCTACTCATTGTACTGTTCCTTGGTGTGTCCTTCAACCCAGCAGATAGCTCTGCTCATACTGAACTCCTGGCCTCTTGTTTTGGAGGAGTCATAGTGGCCCACTGTGACGAAAACTAGTGTGCCGTCTTTCTTAACCTGCCAGTTGATGAGGTCATAGACGGCCACAGGATCACCTTTGGAATCAAAATAGACCTGAAAACCATTGTTTGTAGTGAAGTTCACTCTCTTGAGCTGGTCGAGTATCTGCAGTGGAACATATAATTGACAGAGGTGGTGGGCCTCTAGCTACATGCCAGGCAGCCCATGGTTGTGAAGCTGGGTATTTGACAAAATGCCACTTTCATTAGTTTATATACTTATTAGATATTTAATCATATTTACATTCTTTCATTTCTTTCTTTTATTTTCCTTTGTAAATTACTTTAGTAGTTAATCTTATTATCTAGCACAGGGTGAGAAACAACACTGTAAACAACAACAACAAAAAAAAAAACAGGGCTAATCATTTTTTTTTTGCCATTGTTTAATATTGTAACATTTGTCTTAATTTAATTTCCCAAATAAAAGGGTATGTGCATTAAAAATCTCCTTGTGATTAAAATGAATTAGACAAAGATGGAGACACAATGCATCTAGGCAACAGGGACATTTAAGAAATTTACAAATTTGTAGTTTAATTAAAAAAAATGTTTTAGGTGAACCCTAAATCAACAGATTTTGTATATGGTGATAAACCATGGTGCTACACTTACAATTCCGTTAAAGTCTCAAAGAGAATTGGAGGGAACTTTACCCATAAGGTGTTTCTTGGTATTCTGCTCTGGCCTAAACATGATTATGAAACACTTGGGAGCAAAAATACAAATAATCAAACCAAAGCTTGAGGCCAGAATAGCAAATATCTCCACAGCTACAGTGAACTTTCCAGGAGAGCTGACATAAGCTGGGATAAAGGTGATCCAAACTGCACAGAATATCAGCATGCTGAATGTGATGAACTTGGCTTCATTGAAGTTATCAGGCAGCTTCCGAGCTAGAAAAGCCAAAACAAAACACACAAGTGCCAGAAATCCTATATAACCCAGCACAGCCCAGAAACCTACAGCTGAACCTAATTCACATTCCAGTATTATTCGTTCCTTGTTTTGCTTAAGATTCTTCACAGGTAGAGGAGGTGATGTTGACAACCAAATCACACAAATTAGGACTTGTATTAGAGTGAAGGCAAGAACACTGAGTCTCTGCTGTGGAGGCCCAAACCATTTCATGGCATTACTGCCTGGAAGTGTAGCTCTGAAGGCCATTAACACCACTATTGTTTTCCCCAGAACACAGGAGATGCAGAGGACAAAGGTGATCCCAAACGCTGTGTGACGCAGCATACAGGACCACTCAGAGGGCTGACCAATGAAAGTAAGTGAGCAGAGGAAACACAGAGTCAGTGAGAAGAGCAGCAGGAAGCTCAGCTCTGAGTTGTTGGCTCGGACGATGGGAGAATTTCTGTGTTTGTAGAAAACAGCAGCCACACATACATCCACAAAGGCCCCAGAGATGGAAAACGCTGTCAGGATGATGCTCAGAGTGTCGTCCCAGGACAGAAACTCCACAGGTTTGTGAAGGCAACTGTCTTGGTGGGTGTTGGGCCAGAACTCAGGAGGGCAGCTCACACAATTCAAAGAGTCTAAGAAATAAGAAAAGTGCATTCAGAGACTTAAATTATTCAGAACTTTAATGGACAGGAAAAAAAACTTGCAGTTTCCCAGTAGAAATTGCTTGTATTGTGATACACAACCTGTCTTGTTGCTGATCTCTCCTTCTGCACATGGTATACAGTCATAGCAGCAGACTGGCTTTCCTTTCTGCACAGCCTTCCTGGTTCCTGGAGGACAGCTCTCACTGCACACAGATCTTGGTACCTGAAATACATGAGACAAACACAAATCATTTATCCTTTGTTTTAAAAGTCAAATGATCATAATGCCATACACATAAGTTTTTCTTTTTCTACACTGTCTACATAAACCCAATGTTTAAGTTCATTACTTGCATTGCATGAAGATAAGATTTCAACAGTTTTGCTTAAGTAAACATATTGAGTGTGTTAATTGAATTCTATTTTGTCTGTTTTTGTGAAAATTTTAATTTAGTGGTGAGCATCTGAATGACATTTGAATTTTTTTTATTTTTTATTTTTAATGCCATAGAATTACACTGAATGCATTTTAAGTGGTTCAATTTGTCTCTCTTAAATAGGTCTTAGTTTTTCTAATTTTAATTCAATCGAGAAACTACTTATTTGAAGTTTTCATCATGCTAAAGGAAAGGATTGGTTATGTATTACCGCTAACTGTTTTGTTAAATGTAATGGAATTCTGTCTTGCATTTTATCAGTCCAGGCTGTATAACTGCTATGAAGTTAAACAATTTACTGTCACAAATATTCAGACAGACAATAAGCACCCAACAGCAATGAAACCCTTTGTGATGCTGGCATTATTGTACAGCAGTCCAGAGTACTTTGATACCAGTGTTATGTAGAGCTGCCATTAGCCAAATGTTACAGTAAAGCACGAAATTGAAGTAAATTGTTTTTTCTTTATAAGATTTTCACATAAGTGGTACTCAATTCATTTAAGGCAACTGTCACCACAAAATAGTTCAGGAATAATCTATGTAATTTTTGTTGAAATTATCATAAAGGTTAAAAGGGTAAAATTGCATTAATTTAAAGAGTGAAGTGAATAAATACTTTGAGTTAAATCAACTGAAAATATATTTTTTCTTAGTTTAGTTGTATGTATGTATATATATCATTTTGTGTTCTGCTAACATATCCAGGTACACAGAGATAGTGAAATACTACTCATTGTACTGTACCTTGGTGTGTCCTCCAACCCAGCGTGATAGCTCTGCTCATACTGAACTCCTGGCCTCTTGTTTGGATGAGTCATAGTGGCCCACTGTGACGAAAACTAGTGTGCCGTCTTTATTAACCTGCCAGTTTATGAGATCATAGACGGCCACAGGATCTCCTTTGGAATCAAAATAGACCTGAAAACCATTCTTTGTAGTGAAGTTCACTCTCTTGAGCTGATCGAGTATCTGCAGTGGAACATATCATTTGAAAAACTGTGAACGGAACTGTAATTTTGAACTGTGATAATTTGTTTGACTGCATACGTAAAAATGTAATGTTATTAACGTTGAATGGTGACTCGTTGTCAATGATTTTATGGGCCATTGTATCATGTTTCAAACCATGAAAATGAGCTCAAAATAAGAACCACAGAAACTGATGTTTTTCTGTTCCTAGCTTAACCTATATATATATATATTATATATATATATATATATATATATATATATATATATATATATACATTAGTTTTTGTAAAATGACGAAAAATGGTATGTCACAGCTAGTAGATCAGTTTCGACGCTTGATTTTGAGTTTTTAACGTAAAAATGCACTGCAATTGCTATTCTAATTTATTTTATGATAAAATTATTGTAAATTTGTCATAATCTTCTCCCAACATTGTGTGTCAGTGGTGAAAGAAAAACATAAAATGTTATAAAAGTAAAAACAGGAAGGTCTTTTCAAATGACTTCATGTAGGGATATTTTGGATTTAGAAAAAATAACGGTTACTGAAATCTATTTTTACATTTTTGATCGATGTGGCTAAAATACTGACACGTTCATTGTTTCCTAGACGATTGTCTCATGGAACAGTAAGTGATTTTAAATATCAAATAAATAACAACGTATCCAGTTTGCCACCGCAATGGTAGAATAACCCAAATAGCGTACGTCATATAGATAGATTAGTGTATGAAATTTTTGCAACAAAAATGTATTTATTATAATTATCCTATTACATGCAAGCTATTGTTCTGGTCCTAAATGTAACAGTTTTATATCTGCCATGTGTCCTGTGTGACACCTCCATATGTCGCAAAACGACTTGGTCATTAGTGTTACTCGATTTTAAATTGGAAATAGATTGGAAATAGAACAACAATGTGCCCTGCTTTTCATCGCAATGTAGAATAACCAAAATACCCAGATTCTAATATACTAATCAAGGTAATTTATATACACATTTTTTACAATAAAATGATGCTTATTCCATTTATAATGCAAGACAATAAGATATTTTCAAATGTATCAGTTTTATACCTGCCATGGTGTGAATTTAGCGCTCTTGTCGACACTGAGTGTCATTACAGATAACACCGTGGATGGCATGCGCTATGGCATACGTAGCTTTGTATACCAGGTTAGTTGCGCGCAGCTGAGACGTGTCTGTATATGGGTTCTGCAGCGCGCGGATATCCTCACTGCCGTCACATTCCCGCGCGCCCTTTGAGGAGCCTTTTAGGCTACAGCTGAACGAGCTCTCCCAAAACTCCGTTAGCAGAGGCGATTTCAGTGCTTGTTCTGGAGAGAGATCCAGAAGAAACTCACGAAAACCTCCAATCACTGAGCGGGGGATTCCAAATCCTATCGCCCCAGCGCACATGTTAAAGCGCAGAAAATCTGTTTCTGTGATCCACGACTCGGTGCCGATCCACTGAAGGGGAGGCGGCGGCTGTCTTACTAGTTCCTCCAACAGAAATTTCATGTCGCCTGAAGCAACAAACGCTACTATTACCCGGGCTGTTGATCTGCGGATGACGTTTGCCACTCTCTCCAGTTTACTGCGCGGTTGTGTTCTGTAGTAGGACTCGGAGTACTCCACACAGATGCCCTCCTCCTGCGCAGCCTTTAGAAACGACGCCATTCCATTATTCCCATAGTCTGAGTCGCTGCGCACTGCCCCAATCCATGTCCATCCGAAATGCTTGACTATTTTTGCCAATGCGGCCGCTTGGTGGTGGTCACTAGGCACGGTTCTGAAGAAGGCAGGATACTGACGCTTGTCGCTCAGACATGCGCAGGTTGCGTAGTGACTCACCTGTTATTCAGTATAGAAAAGGAAGAAGAAGCGTTACTTGAGATGCCTGACTGAATTTTAGCGCTTATTTATGAAACATTATATGGTCCTTCAGCTGTTATCAAACACACTTAATAGCAATCCGCGTTTTTAATATTGTACTATTTAGTGCAGTCTACGCTCACCTGTGGAATTCCAAAAAGACCCAGTATTCTGGCCATACTAATAGAAGTGGTGGAAGCAGAATCTCCCACGAGAGCAGGAACAGCGGCGGCTGCAGGTTTTGAGCAGGAATCAGTTTCACTTAAAAATGGTTCCATGCCGTTTGCAAACTGAAATGCTCCTTTGATTGCCATCGGCACTGCACCGCACGAGTCGTGTATCTGGTATCCTAACGTGATTCCCGGCAGGAGATCTGTTCTGTTGTTGATCTCGTGGACGGCGAACTCAATAGCACGGGCGATGCGCAGCTCCCTGAAATTCATACTATTCAGAAACACAAGAAATGAAAAACATTTACACAAAAACTGTCAGATGTCACTACTAAGTACCTCATGACTGCAAAAACAAAAGTGGAAATATGATTATTATAATTTCTCTGTAATGCTCAATTCAACTGTTCACTGCACACTCACAGACAGACCTCCCAGAGCACTGTGGCTGTAGTGGCTGTCTGGTGTAGGTGTTCTGCTCTGATCTCATGGTGAAATGAATAGAAAAAATCCCTCCAATTAAAAAATCTCCACTCAAAGAAAGACCAGGTATCTGAGGCTCAGACCACAGTCTGCAGCTGATCGCGTCATCTTTACAAGCTGCTGGACTGAGCCCAGTTAACCACAGCATTGATAAAAATGTCTTCAGACTTAGAGTGAGCTGCATGGCATGCTCAGTCGATCCCTGCCCTCTGTAGACCAGCATGACTGCCTTTAAATAGCCACCTTGTGGTGATTCCCTGTGGGTGTGAGGTCAGAACCAGGAGGCGTGGCTGTGCCTTGCATTGTAACCGCAGCTTATTTACTATAAGTTTAAAAGCTGCATCATTTTTACAGTGCATCACTGAACTTAGAATTTAAATAATATTCCAATGTAATTCTTTGGCTTCTTGTTAATACATTTTGGTTACTTATTTTTTTTACATCCAAATACAAATATTTCTTTGAAATTAAATTAAATTGTAATTTAAAAAAAAATCTTGTAGTATTCACACAATTCTTTCAAATCATTTTTTGTTAAAATAAGTAATTGTTTTATTAACACATACAACAATTAACAATATGACTTCATGTTTGTCTAACAGGCTCAATGTGAATAAATATTAAAAGCTAGCATTTAGGTATCTGAGTTAGACATAGTGCGCTTGGTATGGTTTGGATTAAAAATTTATCATAGAAAGAAAACTTCTTCAGTTTCCCTTTTTCATGGCACTTAGAATAAGTAGTGTGTTGCTATTAAGGTTGTAGAAAGGCAAGGTGGAGAAGATTTCATTTAATGTAAAATCTGGTGACACTTAACAGACATCCGAGTCGGAACCACTGATGAGCAAACCGAGGGCGACAGCAGCAAGAGAACCAGGAGAACCCACCCTTCTCTGGTTAAGATGAGAGTAAAGCAGATTATAACCTCCTGAATGGAATGAACATGGAGCAGAAATGGCTGTTAGAAGGTAGCGGCTGTGTATGGGAGTTGAGTGTTATGGTAGGTCGAGGCAGCTGGTTTATGCTGCTCTGGTCACTGCAGGAGGTAGTTTGGCATAGAGTGTCCTGTTGGCAACAGAAATGTTGTTCAGAGGGGATGGTAAATGAGAATCACTTGCTTAACATTCAAGCCCCCCCAAAAAACAGTGATGGTGAAAGGACATGGTTCCCAGGAACTGAGGACTGCATGGGATGAGGAAGTGAAGTCAATAGCATGGGGGATGTCAAATCAGCGGTGGCAGAGGAGCGTCTGAAATGAGTAGGAGAGCAACAGGTTACCAGGGGCACCAGCATCATCTTCACAAATGAACCAATATTAGTCAAGTCTGAGGAGAAAAGGGAGATCCAATGGCAACCCTGGGGAAAAGATAGGTGTCTGAAAAGAAAGAGGCAGATGAGCTCTGCTGAGCTGTTGCAGGAAATATGTGAGAAACAATGGCATTTGGAAGAATGGCAAAGTGTCAGATGTGAGGGGCATTAGAGATGGAGCTAACAAAGGTGGTGGACCATGCAGAGGCTGGGGCAGACAAAATGAGACTGGATGAGAGACAGAGGAGGGCTGCCAAGGTCAATACGAAAGTGGGTTGAAGTCTAGCACATATGTGTACTGAGATGAATGGCGAAGTGGAGCGAGGTCTCTGAATAGTTCAGAGTTGAGATGTATCTGAGTGCAGATGGAGGTGAGTTGAGACAGTGACAGAACTGAATTGTAGCAGATTCAATGTGGAGCTGATCTGAGGTGTGCATAGCCATGTAAGCTGAGGGTGGCTGAGCAATGGAGGCAGGCCTCGTTTGCCTTTGATGGAACTGAGACAAAACGGAATGATTCAGTCCAGGCGAAGCAATTTGCCCATCAGGATGCACTGGTCATTGGCCAAAGTCCTGTCAGGGGTGCAGTGGGGATGAGGCTTGTGACTGAGGGCGGAAGTGGAGGTGCGTGAGCCGCCAAGGCTTGAGAGCAGCAGTGCCACACTGGAAGCACTGTGATCAGGCAGGAAGAGCATGTGTGGCTGGGGAAATCAGCTACGCAGGCGGATCCTCTCAAGTCTGCACAACCCAGGGCTGCAGGTATAATAAAAAGGAATTTCAGATAGTGGCTGGACTGCATCTGCACAAGGAGCAGGCAGGCAGCTTAGGGGAATTCAGGAGAGAAGAGTCAAGGGCTGGGCTACAGTGGTACACAGCAAAACTGTCATCTTGCGACTGATTGTGAGAACTTTGTCACATAAAACAGAAGGTAAGGCATTACAGGGGATTAGACTGGAGGGAGGAGGGATTTCAGACATTATCCTTGCCCTAGGCTTAAAAATACTTATTAGCAGACTTCAGACTATACTTTAGCTTCAGACGTTGAGGACTCTATTTGACACTTTTCATGCAATGACCCTTAGGTTGTTGTGGTAACTAGCAAATACACTATATTGCCAAAAGTATTCACTCACCCATCCAAATCATTGAATTCAGGTGTTAAAATCACTTCAATGGCCATAGGTGTATAAAACACCTAAAGCACCTAGGCATGCAGACTGCTTCTACAAACATTTGTGAAAGAATGGGTTGCTCTCGGGAGCTCAGTGAATTCCAGCATGGTACCGGGATAGGATGCCACCTGTGCAACAAGTCCAGTCATTAAATTTTCTTGCTACTAAATATTCCACAGTCAACTGTCAGTGGTATTACAACAAAGTGGAAGCGATTGGGAATGACAACAACTCAGCCACAAAGTGGTAGGCCACGTAAAATGACAGAGCAGCACCAGTGCACAAAGCAAGGTCCATAAAGACATAGATGAGCGAGTTTGGTGTGGAAGAACTTGACTGACCTCAACCTGATAGAACACTTTTGGGATGAATTAGAGCGGAGACTTCCCATAAACACACTCTAAAACCTTGTGGAAAGCCTTCCCTGAAGAGTTGAAGCTGTTATAGCTGCAAAGGGTGGGCCGACATCATATTAAACACTATGGATTAAGAATGGGATGTCACTCAAGTTCATATGCGTGTGAAGGCAGACGAGCGAATACTTTTGGCATTATAGTGTACTTTAGAGACTTATTCAAATATTACTTTTCCTTTTTCACTTTTCCATTTCCAGTTTTCCAAACTAGCCAGTGATCTAAGTATATTTGAAAAGCCAAACAGGTAGGGAGCGGGAGGTTTATATAAGGTAAGCTTTATTTAGGGGAAGACAGGTCTCAGTTGTTATTTTTCCCAGTTTTTTTCATCATCCCTCACAGTGAAATAAACAAGATATTTTGGGGGAGACACGCAGAATTATACAGTATAAAGAATGAACTTCTTTAGGTTAAACAAAAAATCAACAATTTTATCATCATGGCAAAATTTCAATTGCTACATACAGCCATCAATCACGTACGACTACAGGAGCAATATTTTTCCTTTAAGAGTACATGTAAAGAAAGCATGAATTTAATTATAGCAGATAATCTAAAGTTTATTGACACTTACATAAAAAGATTGCCTAAAATACTAAAAAAAAAATAGAAAACCTTATAAAACAGTTCATAAAGCTGGATGAAATTATATATATTTACAAATATAAAAATAAAAGAGAGTTTGTCACAACTGTGTGATGGAGAGGATGATGTACTCTTTGATTGAAAGTTTCATACACTGTAAAAAGTGGCTCGTCAGATCTACTTAAAAAAAATACTTCATGTGGTAAAAAGCAATACAACTATATTTATTCAACTCAAACAATTAATTTGATTTGAAAGAACTGTTCATTCAAAGTCTTTGAATAAGTTGAATAAAACTTGTTAATTTACTTGTAACCACATGAAGTAAGTTTTAAGTAGATCTGAAGAGCCACTTTTTACAGTACAATAAGTCGGCACATTTTAGATATTGTCTTTGATCCAGCCTTCATATTACTTTTTCTACCTATTTCAGTTCATCAAAGAGCCTAAGAGGGCACTTTACCCATAAGGTGTTTCTTGGTATTCTGCTCTGGCCTAAACATGATTATGAAACACTTGGGAGCAAAAATACAAGCAATCAAACCAAAGCTTGAGGCCAGAATAGCAAATATCTCTACAGCTACAGTGAACTTTCCAGGAGAGCTGACATAAGCTGGGATAAAGGTAACCCACACTGCACAGAATATCAGCATGCTGAATGTGATGAACTTGGCTTCATTAAAGTTATCAGGCAGCTTCCGAGCTAGAAAAGCCAAAATAAAACACAAAAGAGCAAGAAATCCTATATAACCCAGCACAGCCCAGAAACCTATAGCTGAACCTAATCCACATTCCAGGATTATCCTTTCCTTGTATTGCCTTAGATTTCTTAATGGGAGAGGAGGAGATATTGTTAACCAAAGCACACAAATAAGAACCTGTATGAGAGTGAAGGTGAGAACACTGAGTCTCTGCTGTGGAGGCCCAAACCATTTCATGGCATTACTGCCTGGAAGTGTAGCTCTGAAGGCCATTAACACCACTATTGTTTTCCCCAGAACACAGGAGATGCAGAGGACGAAGATGACCCCAAACGCTGTGTGGCGCAGCATACAGGACCACTCAGAGGGCTGACCAATGAAAGTAAGTGAGCAGAGGAAACACAGAGTCAGTGAGAAGAGCAGCAGGAAGCTCAGCTCTGAGTTGTTCGCTCGGACGATGGGAGAATTTCTGTGTTTGTAGAAGACAGCAGTCACACATACAGCTATGAAGGCCCCAGTGATGGAGAATGCTGTCAGGATGATGCTCAGAGTGTCGTCCCAGAACAGAAACTCCACAGGCTTGGGGAGGCAGCTGTCTTGTTGAGTGTTGGGCCAGAACTCAGAAGGGCAGCGAACACAGTTCAAAGAGTCTAAGGGATTTGAAAAGCACATTCAGAATCTTATATCTGAAACAACCACAAAGGAATGAAAATAACCAAACTATGACTGTCCCCAGGAAAAGTGCTCACTGTTCAGTAATACACAACCTGTCTTGTTACTGATCTCTCCTTCTGCGCATGGTATACAGTCATAGCAGCAGACTGGCTT